GAGAAAGCGCTTCACAGGTAACAGTTTAGAGGAAGCTTTACTGTGTCTCTAACCCTGACCCGGGAGTGTGGACAGTGTAGAGGAGCTTTACTGTGTCTCTAACCCTGACCTGGGAGTGTGGACGGAGCTACTGTATTCACTGTGCTGTACTACTTGACTGACTGTGCTGAGAGCTTCTCACTGAGAGATCCACCCACCGAGAGGCCACAGGTGATAAGCATTGCTCACAGCACAGCCCGGTAGCATTGTTTCCATGGTGCCTGTTATTTAAGGTCAGAGAGGACCTGGAAGATAGCTTGGAGCTACTCCACTTGTTTATAAAGTGAGTTGAAGCACACAGACTCCTCTGATGGCCAGTTTAATTGGAGTCCTGTAGCTCAGTGGTTAGAGCACTCGCCTCGCAAGCGAGAGGTCCCGGGTTTGATTTCCCGCCGGGTAGAGCGAAACCTTAGGCGGGTATCCTGTGGTATATTGTGGAGTCCTGTAGCTCAGTGGTTAGAGCACTCGCTTTGCGAGAGAGAGACCTGAGTGCAATTCCAGACAGAGGGCGAAACCTCGGGCAAGTTTCCTTACTCCACACAGAGCCTAATAATAATCCTCCAAAACAAAAACAATAACAAATTGGTCATTTTCAATCTACGACTGTTGTGGGGCATCGCTGTGCGCAATTGGCTGCCGCGTTCGCCCACAAATATACAGTCACTTCACTTTACAGTGTGTTCTGTGAAGCGCTTTGGGACGTCCTCCCGACGTGAAAAGCGCTATATCAAAATGCAAGGATTATTATTATTTTATCCTGAGATAAGAGCTTTGAGACGTGTCGAAGACGTGATAAGGCGCTGTATCAATCGCAATTATTATTATGATTACTATTATTAATAACAGACCGCTCCGTGTGACATCTTCATAGCCACTGGAAATCTCCTCTACCCATCAGTAGCAGTCACCCTCCTCTTTAAACCGGTGCGGAGCAGATGTCTCAATAACAAGCAGCGTTGTGTTGTTTTTCCGTTGATGAGCTTGTTTATGAGTTCACCGCTTCCCCTGGAGTGAGGGTGGCTGTGCAGTCACTTCTGTGCTGTATACACTTGTTCCTTTATATGTGAGAAGAAGGTCTTGAATAATCAGCCTCCCGCGTAAAACGAGGCTATGGGAGAATGCTGAAAACCTTCTCCTTCGACCATGCCTATGGTCACCTCCCCTCTCCCTCCCCTGGCTCGGCATCATGCTCCACCACTGTTAAGCGCGCTGTTAAACTATCCTAGAAACTATTCTACGTCGCTGCTGATGACAGAGCAGCCCGGCCTGGCTCATCAGCAGGACCCGGAAGGCCGGCCAGTCACTGGGGGTAGGGAATCCTCCCCCTCATCTCCTGTTAACCCTGCAGCCAAAGCCCTAACTAACGGGTAGGGTGGTCCTAGCTGGACAAGCAGTGGGAAAGCTGGCCAGACAGCGCTCTCAATGGGCAAGCTATGCAGTTAAGACTCCAGCAGTTACCCCAACGCACAATCTGGGCTCCCCCCACCAAGCCTTGGCTCTTGCCGACCTCTGCCTAATACTCTCAAAGCGCTTCACAGGATACACTGTAAAGTGGAGTGAGTGTGTGTTTTGTGGGCGAAACGCGGGAGTCAATTGCGCCCAGCGACGTCCCCACAAACAGTCATGGATTGAGTGAGTGACCGAAATGCACTCACACACACACACAGGGCTGTGTTGGAGGGTGGGGCTGTGCGGGGGTGGGAGAGGGGCTGGGAGAAGGCAGACAGCCAGACAGCCAGACGAAAAATCTACCACTATACCTACTAAACAAGATACTCTTTATGGTAAGTGTCAAGCGATGTGGAGCTCTGATAACTTAAAGCGAGTTCTTATCTCACATGGTAACCAGGGTTACCAATGGTGTCTCTTCACAAGGGGGAAACTAACAAATAACTTCCTGTTCTGTTTCAATTTTATTTTTCCACACACCACACGCACGGAAAGTCCCTCTGCCTGAAACCCCTCTGTAGCAAAATAATAATAATAATAATAATCCTTGCATTTGACTCAGCGCCTGATCGCATCGTCGAGACGCGTCAAAGCCCTTGACAGGTTATCGCGTAAAGTGTAGTGACTGTGTGTTTTGTGGGCCTAAACGCGGGAGCCAATCGAGCACGGCGACGTCCCCACAAACGGTCGGGGGATGAGTGGCCACGTTATTACAGGGATTATTCAAAGGGATATCAACTCACGAGCGTAAACACAGGCACGTGTGCGTGTGTGCAGTAAGGAAACTTGCCTCAGGATTTGCGCTGTCCCGGCTTGGAATTGAACCCGGCTCCACTTGCTTTCGAGGCGAGGGCTCTAACCACTGAGCTACAGGATGGCCCTGGATATTTTGAGGCAAGTATTGGAAGAGCAATGGCCCTGGTATCCCGAGACAAGTGGGAGAGTGAACGCGGACCCTCTGCACACAGCACCTTTATTCAATAACTGGATAAAAGTGTCTCAACTTGTGTTGCACGAAGCGTGTGCGGAGTTAGTTATCCACAAGATCCCGACTGCCGGTGCTGCCACCCTGTGGCTCGGTTGGGGGATTGCACCACAACAATTTGGTACGGCCACAACGAACTACATTCGGACGTAATAATAACAATCCCCGCGTTTGACCCGGCGCCTTATCACCTTGTTGAGGCGTCTCAAAGCGCTTCACAGGATACGCTGTAAGGCGTAGCGACTGTGCGTTTTGTGGGTGAAATGCGGCAGCCAATGTAGCACAGCAACGTCCCATAAACAGCCGCGGAGTGGGTGACCACGTTATTATTTTTCTTGGGAGGGATTATCATTCCTGGGAAAGTGAACCGCCAATCGACTAACATGTGGGTTCCTACTTACTGCTAAACAGAGGCGTGTGGAGGAAGGAAACTTGCCCAACATTTTGCCCCGCCCGGAATCGAACTCGGGTCCCAAAGCGCGTCAAGGGGATTTACTGTCAAGTGCAGTGACTGTGTGTTTTTGCTGGGCAACCACAGTAGCCACGTCCCACCAACAGCCGTGAGTGAGTGATCAATTTTATTCGGGAGATTATAATGATAATAGTGATCCTCGCATTAGATATGGCGCCATATCACGTCGTTGAGACGTCTCGAAGCGCTTCGCAGGTTACACTGTAAAGTGTAGTGACTGGATTTTTGTGGGATTGTTGGCTAGGACACAGAGGGAGGGAGAGAGAGAGAGCGAGAGAGGGGGGATCTTTAATGTCCGCCAGGATAGACTCAATAGATTCAATAATAATAACTTTCGAAGGGGAATTGGGACTGTGGGATGGAGTTCCAGAGGGTGGGGGCAGAGAGGCTGAAGGCCCGACCACTGATGGTGGGGTGGGCCGGGCGGGGGACGTGGAGCAGGCCGGAGTCCGCTGAGCAGAAAGAGCAGACAAGTCGATAAGGCGTCAGCAGGTCCCAGAGGTAGGGAGGTGCGAGGCCGTGGAGGGCTTTGAAGGTGATCACAAGAGGGTGCCAGAGGAGGAGAGACAACAACAACTTTCATTTACACAGTGCCCCTCACTCAGGGTAATATCCCAGAGCCCTCGATGGCGACGGAGCACGACACAGAACGAGGGAGAGGGAGGTAACGTAAGCACTGTTCGAAGAGGACGATCTCCAGGCTCGGCCTGAGGATGGGGATGGAGGGACTGGGGGCAGAGAGTGACAGAGTTTGGGGGCGTAGTAGCTGAAAGCGCGGCTGCCGATGGTGGGGAGGAGGGCACGAGGGACATGCAGGAGGCCGGAGCCAGTCGGGACAGAAAGAAAGAGAGAGAGAGAGAGAGAGAGAGAGAGAGAGCGAGAGAAAGAAAAGGGACTTGTTCTCAGTAAACTTTATTTGCAATCTGCACGCACACGCATGCTTCCGTAACAAGAACAGCCTGGGAGAAAGTGCACGATCACGACGACAGCTCCGCGCAAAGCAAGTCAAACCCAACTCCGCCACACGTCAAGACACCCACGACAGAAACGCCAAGTGAAGAGAGAAAACTCGCGGCAGGAATCTCGAGCAACTTACTGGCACTTCAGTTAAAGACACAACACAACACGACACGAGAGAGCTTGCGCCTTTAATTGAGTTGTTCGGATCTGGAATAAGGAGATTCGATGACAACTTTCGAGAGAGAAGTGGATAGATATTTGGGGAGGACAAATTTGCGGGTCTGATTGGGGGGAGCGCGGGGAGTGGGATTAATTTGGACGGCTCTATCGAAGAGCCGGCACAGCCACGATGGGCCGAATGACCTCCTTCTGTGCTGTATAATTCTATGATACAGCGCCTCATCACGTCCTCGAGACGTCTCAAAGCGCTTCATAGGATACGCTGCAAAGTGGAGTGACTGTGTCGATTTTGTGGACGAAACGCGACAGCCAATTGCGCGCGGCAAGCGTCCCACAAACAGTCGTGGGCTGAGTGCCCCAGTTTTATTTTATTTTTTGAGGGATTATTATTATGATTATTGTCTGTGTGACATCTTTCATTCCCACCTGGATTGAGTGAGAGTGAGTGAGTGAGTGAGTGAGTGAGTGAGTGAGTGAGTGAGTGAGAGTGAGAAAGAGAGAGAGAGAACAAGAAAAGGCTTTTATAACGGAGTTGGTCGAGGCAGCATCTGAAACAAACCACTGCAGGTATTTTGTTCCCTGCCTGCAAAGCGTTTTAGCCAACCCGCATTGCTGTCAACTGAAGAGATTTAGCTGGACACGTTCAGCCACAGCCGAGGTGCTTTGGAGTTGAGTAATATCAATTGGCAATTGGCTTGTGGGAACCGCTAATTGGGTCAGTGCATCACTAAAACAACTCAACGCCCGTGAGAGAGCAACATGGCGCTTCGCGGGCAGAGGAACGCAACGACAACTTGCATTTACACAGCGTCCCTCAAGCAGTGTAGCGTCCCAGAGCGCGTGACACTGGTGAAGCCTGACGCTGAGCCGGGTGGGGTGGGGGGGGGGGGGGGGTGATCACAAGCACGGTCAAAGAGGAAGGTCTTCAGGCACGACCTGAAGATGGGGAAGGAAGGTGGAGGGATTTGGGGGGTGGGGGGGGGGTTGAAGAGGGAGTGACAGACTTTCGGGGAGTAGTGGCTGAAAGCAGGGCAGCCGACGGTGGAGCGGAAGAGGGTACGAGGGACAAGCAGGAGGCACAGCAAAGCCGTACTCCGCGATCTCGCTGCGAGATCCCGTAAAGTATTTAAAAAACACCACATGCGTACAGCACTTTGAGAGCACATTACCACATCACCCACGGAGGTAAAGGTAAGGTAACCTTGCACTGACTGGGAGAGGTAGAGGCACAGCTGAACAGCCTGCACTGAAGCTCACATACCCACGTGGCACTCTGTGTGTTAGGTATCAAGGGTGGGAGACACTGTACCACAAGCCTGACTGACAGCTTACACATGCAAACAGGTTTAGTCGCCTTAAACACAATGCTTTCACGACTCCAGTTTCTATTGCATGCAGTCACACTGTCTGACTGTATACACAGGGAGGCTATACACACGCACACACGCGAGTGTGTCAGTCAACATCTATCTCTCTGGCACTGACCGCTTTACACGCCTGCCTGTGACTGTCAGCCTTCCTGCCCGGCGCTGATCGCGGTCTGGATGGCCTCTTCGCTCAGTAGTTTGAGGGTCCGCAGGGCGTAGATTAGCTGCTCCTTGGCGTTGCCGATGAAGGTGTTGGTCAGGAAGGCCGGGAGGCCCCCGAAGCCATCTCGGAGAGTGTACAGGGGCACACGGATAGTCCCCATGACCTGGTGAGCACACAGGAAAACAAGACAGGTGAGAGGCCTGGGAGGGAGAGCAACAGGTAGCAGTGCGTCTGTTCCAGTGAGGGTAGTGCAAAGGCAGAGGTAGATAGACACAGGTTCGTCATCACAATTGCCCACGAAACACAGTCACTACACTTTACTATATATCCTGTGAAGCACTTTGAGATGTCTCGAAGACGTGATAAGGCACTGTGTCAAATTGCGCGGATTATTCTTACATAATTATTATAATAATACAGCGCCTTATCACATCGATGAGACGGCTCACTCAAGTGGAGTGACTGGGCATTTTGTGGGACGAAACGCGGCAGCCAATTACGCACAGTGACATCCCACCAACAGTCGTGGATTGAGTGACCAAATTATTATGACTTTACTGCTGTAAAGACCAGCTGGACGCTGCCTACCTCCGACCGTGATCCTTGGCATGTACAGCAGCCACCTCGATCCTGTGCAGGTCGGCCAGAGACAGCTGTTTGATGTAGAAGTGAGCGACCACTTTCTGCGGCATGGCGTCCGTCGCGTGTGAGCTCCTGTAGTCGCTCTCGGTAACGCACAGCAGTTTCTGATCGCAGCCCAGCTCCTCCGCCAACTCCCGGTTCAGTCCGTCCTCCAGGGAGTGGTCTCGGATATCCACAAACCCGCCCGGGAATCCGATCTTCCCATCGAAACGCATCTGCATCTGAAAGGGGGAGAGAGAGGACGGCAGAGGTGCGTGTCTGACGAATCCCCAGAGAGGGGGAGAGAGGGGAGGAGAGAACGGGGAGTGAGAGAGGAGAGTAGGGAAGAAGAGAAGAGGAGGTAAGAGAGAGATGGGAGAGAGAGGAGAAAGGGAGAAACAGAAGAGGGGGAGAGGAGAGGAGGAAGAGAGAGAGAAGATAAGAGAGGTGAGGAGAGACGGGAGAGAGGGGGGAGAGGAGCGGACATAGGAGAGGTAAGAGGGGAAGATAGAGAAAGAGAGAGGAAGAGAGATGGGAGGGTGGAGAGAGGGAAAGGGGAGGGGAGGAGAAACTATTTCCAATGGTGAGTAGGCTGATAACCTGAGCACAGCAATTTAAAATAGTTGTTAAAAGAAACAGAGGGGAGGTGAGGAGAAGTCTTTTCACAGCGAGTTGTTGGGATCTGGAATCATTGCCCGAAAGGCTGGTGGGAGCCGATTCCATAACAACTTTTAAGAGAGAAGTAGATCATTGTTTGGGGAGGACAAGTTTGCAGGGCTATGGGGAGAGGGCGGGGGAGTGGGGTTGATCAGGGCTATGGGGAGAGAGTGGGGGAGTGGGGTTGATTTGGAAAAGCTCTTTTCAAAGAGCCGGTACAGACATTTGATGTATAATTCTATGAATCTATGATTCTATGAGAGAAGGGAAGAGAGCGGAGGGGAGGGTGGGGGGAGGGAAGGAAGAGGGGAGGAGAGGAGAGAGAGAGGAAGAGAGGGGAGGAGAGAGGAGATGGGAGAGAGGAGGAGAGGACAGAGGGGAAGAGAGAAGAGTCAGGAAAGGGTGAGGAGACAATAAATAATCCTTGGGTTTGACCTGGCGCCTGATCACGTCATCGAGACGTCTCAAAACACTTCACAGGATACACTGTAAAGTGTAGTAACTGTGTGTTTTGAGGGCGAAAAGCGGCAGCCAACTGCGCCCAGCGACGTCCCCACAAACAGCCGTGGGTTGAGTGGGAGGGATTATTACCCCCTCCCCCACCAATCGACTAACAAGCGGGTTCCTACTTACTACTGGCAAACAGAGGCGTGTGTGTGAGTGTGTGCGTGTGTGTGAGTGTGTGTGTGTGTGTGTGTGAGTGTGTGTGCGTGTGTGTGGGGAGTAAGGAAACTTGCCCAGCGTTTCACCCTATACTGTCCCGCCCGACCGGGAATCGAATCCGGGTCCCCTCGCTTGCGAGGCGAGGGCTCTGTCGGGACAAGCCCAGCTTGGGAGATGCTCTGTGCCGGGAGTCAACCAGGTCAGGACATGCTACGAAGCCCCGAGCTCCGTCACATCACAGCACTCACGTCTGACTGGAGAGGGAGCCCAGCGTGAGCAAGAGAAACAGACTGTGTGGAGGAGGCAGATCACAACAACTTGCATTTACACGGCGCCCCTCACACAGGACAGTGTCTCGGAGCCTGACGTCGAGCCGGAAAAAAGTGACCATAAGCACGGTCGAAGAGGAAGGTCGACCTGAAGATGGGGTAGGAGGGAGGGGGCAAAGCAAAGGGATCGAGGGAGAGAGGCTCCGACCTCCTGCTTGTCCCTCGTCCCCTCCGCTCCACCATCGGCGGCCGTGCTTTCAGCCGCTACCCCCCGAAACTCTGTCTCTCTCTCCCCCAATCCCGCATCCTCGCCCCCCCGCCCCCACTCCTTCCCTCTTTCAGATCATGACTGAAGACCTTCCTCTTCGACCGTGCTTCCAGTCACCTCCCCACTCCAACACTTTCAAGCGCTCTGGGACACTGCCCTGCGTGAACGGCGCTGGGTAAATGCATGTTAGAAACCTAGAAACAGGAGGAGGCCATTCAGCCCTCGAGCCTGTTCCACTATTCTGTAAGACCATGGCTGATCTGTACCTCAACTCCAATTACCCCACTTTTGCCCCTTATCCCTTGATCCCCTGACCTAACAAACATCTCTCCACCTCAGTCTGGACAATGTGAATGGATCCACAGCCATAATCCACAGCCTTTTGGGGCAGAGAGTTCCAGATTCCCACTCCCCTTTGTGTGTGTGTCTGTGTGTGAAAAACTGCCCCTGATTTCACTCCTAAACAGCCTGGCTCTAATTTTGAGCTCATGCCCCCCATCCCCTGTTCTGGATTCCCCCACCCACCAGAGGAAACAGTTTCTCTGTAGCTACCGCATCCAATCCCTTTAGCATTGCCGGAGTCCTGTAGCTCAGTGACTAGAGCGCTCGCCTCGCAAGCGAGAGGACCCGGGTTCGATTCCCAGGCAGGGCGAAACCTTAGGCAGGTTTCCTTAGTAGTGCACACGCCTCTGTTCACCGAGCAGTAAATAGGAACCCAGTAGATTGGCGGATCGAAGCTAAAGATAATATTAATTTGGTCACTCAAATCTGAGGTTGTATGTGGGAAACCGCTGTGCAAAACTGGCTGCCGTGTTTTTCCCGAGAAAGCGCTTCACAGGTAACAGTTTAGAGGAAGCTTTACTGTGTCTCTAACCCTGACCCGGGAGTGTGGACAGTGTAGAGGAGCTTTACTGTGTCTCTAACCCTGACCTGGGAGTGTGGACGGACAGTATTCACTGTCTTACATTACTGACTGCTGAGAGCTCTCACTGGAATCCACCCAGAGAGGCCACAGGTGATAAGCATTGCTCACAGCACAGCCCGGTAGCATTGTTTCCATGGTGCCTGTTATTTAAGGTCAGAGAGGACCTGGAAGATAGCTTGGAGCTACTCCACTTGTTTATAAAGTGAGTTGAAGCACACAGACTCCTCTGATGGCCAGTTTAATTGGAGTCCTGTAGCTCAGTGGTTAGAGCACTCGCCTCGCAAGCGAGAGGTCCCGGGTTTGATTTCCCGCCGGGTAGAGCGAAACCTTAGGCGGGTATCCTGTGGTATATTGTGGAGTCCTGTAGCTCAGTGGTTAGAGCACTCGCTTTGCGAGAGAGAGACCTGAGTGCAATTCCAGACAGAGGGCGAAACCTCGGGCAAGTTTCCTTACTCCACACAGAGCCTAATAATAATCCTCCAAAACAAAAAACAATAACAAATTGGTCATTTTCAATCTACGACTGTCTGTGGGGCATCGCTGTGCGCAATTGGCTGCCGCGTTCGCCCACAAATATACAGTCACTTCACTTTACAGTGTGTTCTGTGAAGCGCTTTGGGACGTCCTCCCGACGTGAAAAGCGCTATATCAAAATGCAAGGATTATTATTATTTTATCCTGAGATAAGAGCTTTGAGACGTGTCGAAGACGTGATAAGGCGCTGTATCAATCGCAATTATTATTATGATTACTATTATTAATAACAGACCGCTCCGTGTGACATCTTCATAGCCACTGGAAATCTCCTCTACCCATCAGTAGCAGTCACCCTCCTCTTTAAACCGGTGCGGAGCAGATGTCTCAATAACAAGCAGCGTTGTGTTGTTTTTCCGTTGATGAGCTTGTTTATGAGTTCACCGCTTCCCCTGGAGTGAGGGTGGCTGTGCAGTCACTTCTGTGCTGTATACACTTGTTCCTTTATATGTGAGAAGAAGGTCTTGAATAATCAGCCTCCCGCGTAAAACGAGGCTATGGGAGAATGCTGAAAACCTTCTCCTTCGACCATGCGTATGGTCACCTCCCCTCTCCCTCCCCTGGCTCGGCATCATGCTCCACCACTGTTAAGCGCGCTGTTAAACTATCCTAGAAACTATTCTACGTTGCTGCTGATGATAGAGCAGCCCGGCCTGGCTCATCAGCAGGACCCGGAAGGCCGGCCAGTCACTGGGGGTAGGGAATCCTCCCCCTCATCTCCTGTTAACCCTGCAGCCAAAGCCCTAACTAACGGGTAGGGTGGTCCTAGCTGGACAAGCAGTGGGAAAGCTGGCCAGACAGCGCTCTCAATGGGCAAGCTATGCAGTTAAGACTCCAGCAGTTACCCCAACGCACAATCTGGGCTCCCCCCACCAAGCCTTGGCTCTTGCCGACCTCTGCCTAATACTCTCAAAGCGCTTCACAGGATACACTGTAAAGTGGAGTGAGTGTGTGTTTTGTGGGCGAAACGCGGGAGTCAATTGCGCCCAGCGACGTCCCCACAAACAGTCATGGATTGAGTGAGTGACCAAAATGCACTCACACACACACACAGGGCTGTGTTGGAGGGTGGGGCTGTGCGGGGGTGGGAGAGGGGCTGGGAGAAGGCAGACAGCCAGACAGCCAGACGAAAAATCTACCACTATACCTACTAAACAAGATACTCTTTATGGTAAGTGTCAAGCGATGTGGAGCTCTGATAACTTAAAGCGAGTTCTTATCTCACATGGTAACCAGGGTTACCAATGGTGTCTCTTCACAAGGGGGAAACTAACAAATAACTTCCTGTTCTGTTTCAATTTTATTTTTCCACACACACACACGCACGGAAAGTCCCTCTGCCTGAAACCCCTCTGTAGCAAAATAATAATAATAATAATAATCCTTGCATTTGACTCAGCGCCTGATCGCATCGTCGAGACGCGTCAAAGCCCTTGACAGGTTATCGCGTAAAGTGTAGTGACTGTGTGTTTTGTGGGCCTAAACGCGGGAGCCAATTGAGCACGGCGACGTCCCCACAAACGGTCGGGGGATGTGTGGCCACGTTATTACAGGGATTATTCAAAGGGATATCAACTCACGAGCGTAAACACAGGCACGTGTGCGTGTGTGCAGTAAGGAAACTTGCCTCAGGATTTGCCCTGTCCCGGCTTGGAATTGAACCCGGCTCCACTTGCTTTCGAGGCGAGGGCTCTAACCACTGAGCTACAGGATGGCCCTGGATATTTTGAGGCAAGTATTGGAAGAGCAATGGCCCTGGTATCCCGAGACAAGTGGGAGAGTGAACGCGGACCCTCTGCACACAGCACCTTTATTCAATAACTGGATAAAAGTGTCTCAACTTGTGTTGCACGAAGCGTGTGCGGAGTTAGTTATCCACAAGATCCCGACTGCCGGTGCTGCCACCCTGTGGCTCGGTTGGGGGATTGCACCACAACAATTTGGTACGGCCACAACGAACTACATTCGGACGTAATAATAACAATCCCCGCGTTTGACCCGGCGCCTTATCACCTTGTTGAGGCGTCTCAAAGCGCTTCACAGGATACGCTGTAAGGCGTAGCGACTGTGCGTTTTGTGGGTGAAATGCGGCAGCCAATGTAGCACAGCAACGTCCCATAAACAGCCGCGGAGTGAGTGACCACGTTATTATTTTTCTTGGGAGGGATTATCAGTCCTGGGAAAGTGAACCGCCAATCGACTAACATGTGGGTTCCTACTTACTGCTAAACAGAGGGGTGTGGAGGAAGGAAACTTGCCCAACATTTTGCCCCGCCCGGAATCGAACTCGGGTCCCAAAGCGCGTCAAGGGGATTTACTGTCAAGTGCAGTGACTGTGTGTTTTTGCTGGGCAACCACAGTAGCCACGTCCCACCAACAGCCGTGAGTGAGTGATCAATTTTATTCGGGAGATTATAATGATAATAGTGATCCTCGCATTAGATATGGCGCCATATCACGTCGTTGAGACGTCTCGAAGCGCTTCGCAGGTTACACTGTAAAGTGTAGTGACTGGATTTTTGTGGGATTGTTGGCTAGGACACAGAGGGAGGGAGAGAGAGAGAGCGAGAGAGGGGGGGATCTTTAATGTCCGCCAGGATAGACTCAATAGATTCAATAATAATAACTTTCGAAGGGGAATTGGGACTGTGGGATGGAGTTCCAGAGGGTGGGGGCAGAGAGGCTGAAGGCCCGACCACTGATGGTGGGGTGGGCCGGGCGGGGGACGTGGAGCAGGCCGGAGTCCGCTGAGCAGAAAGAGCAGACAAGTCGATAAGGCGTCAGCAGGTCCCAGAGGTAGGGAGGTGCGAGGCCGTGGAGGGCTTTGAAGGTGATCACAAGAGGGTGCCAGAGGAGGAGAGACAACAACAACTTTCATTTACACAGTGCCCCTCACTCAGGGTAATATCCCAGAGCCCTCGATGGCGACGGAGCACGACACAGAACGAGGGAGAGGGGAGGTAACGTAAGCACTGTTCGAAGAGGACGATCTCCAGGCTCGGCCTGAGGATGGGGATGGAGGGACTGGGGGCAGAGAGTGACAGAGTTTGGGGGCGTAGTAGCTGAAAGCGCGGCTGCCGATGGTGGGGAGGAGGGCACGAGGGACATGCAGGAGGCCGGAGCCAGTCGGGACAGAAAGAAAGAGAGAGAGAGAGAGAGAGAGAGAGAGAGAGCGAGAGAAAGAAAAGGGACTTGTTCTCAGTAAACTTTATTTGCAATCTGCACGCACACGCATGCTTCCGTAACAAGAACAGCCTGGGAGAAAGTGCACGATCACGACGACAGCTCTGCGCAAAGCAAGTCAAACCCAACTCCGCCACACGTCAAGACACCCACGACAGAAACGCCAAGTGAAGAGAGAAAACTCGCGACAGGAATCTCGAGCAACTTACTGGCACTTCAGTTAAAGACACAACACAACACAACACGACACGAGAGAGCTTGCGCCTTTAATTGAGTTGTTCGGATCTGGAATAAGGAGATTCGATGGCAACTTTCGAGAGAGAAGTGGATAGATATTTGGGGAGGACAAATTTGCGGGTCTGATTGGGGGGAGCGCGGGGAGTGGGATTAATTTGGACGGCTCTATCGAAGAGCCGGCACAGCCACGATGGGCCGAATGACCTCCTTCTGTGCTGCATAATTCTACGATACAGCGCCTCATCACGTCCTCGAGACGTCTCAAAGCGCTTCATAGGATACGCTGCAAAGTGGAGTGACTGTCGATTTTGTGGACGAAACGCGACAGCCAATTGCGCGCGGCAAGCGTCCCACAAACAGTCGTGGGCTGAGTGCCCCAGTTTTATTTTATTTTTTGAGGGATTATTATTATGATTATTGTCTGTGTGACATCTTTCATTCCCACCTGGATTGAGTGAGAGTGAGTGAATGAGTGAGTGAGAGTGAGAAAGAGAGAGAGAACAAGAAAAGGCTTTTATAATGGAGTTGGTCGAGGTAGCATCTGAAACAAACCACTGCAGGTATTTTGTTCCCTGCCTGCAAAGCGTTTTAGCCAACCCGCATTGCTGTCAACTGAAGAGATTTAGCTGGACACGTTCAGCCACAGCCGAGGTGCTTTGGAGTTGAGTAATATCAATTGGCAATTGGCTTGTGGGAACCGCTAATTGGGTCAGTGCATCACTAAAACAACTCAACGCCCGTGAGAGAGCAACATGGCGCTTCGCGGGCAGAGGAACAGCAACGACAACTTGCATTTACACAGCGTCCCTCAAGCAGTGTAGCGTCCCAGAGCGCGTGACACTGGTGAAGCCTGACGCTGAGCCGGGTGGGGTGGGGGGGGGGGGGGGGTGATCACAAGCACGGTCAAAGAGGAAGGTCTTCAGGCACGACCTGAAGATGGGGAAGGAAGGTGGAGGGATTTGGGGGGTGGGGGGGGGGTTGAAGAGGGAGTGACAGACTTTCGGGGAGTAGTGGCTGAAAGCAGGGCAGCCGACGGTGGAGCGGAAGAGGGTACGAGGGACAAGCAGGAGGCACAGCAAAGCCGTACTCCGCGATCTCGCTGCGAGATCCCGTAAAGTATTTAAAAAACACCACATGCGTACAGCACTTTGAGAGCACATTACCACATCACCCACGGAGGTAAAGGTAAGGTAACCTTGCACTGACTGGGAGAGGTAGAGGCACAGCTGAACAGCCTGCACTGAAGCTCACATACCCACGTGGCACTCTGTGTGTTAGGTATCAAGGGTGGGAGACACTGTACCACAAGCCTGACTGACAGCTTACACATGCAAACAGGTTTAGTCGCCTTAAACACAATGCTTTCACGACTCCAGTTTCTATTGCATGCAGTCACACTGTCTGACTGTATACACAGGGAGGCTATACACACGCACACACGCGAGTGTGTCAGTCAACATCTATCTCTCTGGCACTGACCGCTTTACACGCCTGCCTGTGACTGTCAGCCTTCCTGCCCGGCGCTGATCGCGGTCTGGATGGCCTCTTCGCTCAGTAGTTTGAGGGTCCGCAGGGCGTAGATTAGCTGCTCCTTGGCGTTGCCGATGAAGGTGTTGGTCAGGAAGGCCGGGAGGCCCCCGAAGCCATCTCGGAGAGTGTACAGGGGCACACGGATAGTCCCCATGACCTGGTGAGCACACAGGAAAACAAGACAGGTGAGAGGCCTGGGAGGGAGAGCAACAGGTAGCAGTGCGTCTGTTCCAGTGAGGGTAGTGCAAAGGCAGAGGTAGATAGACACAGGTTCGTCATCACAATTGCCCACGAAACACAGTCACTACACTTTACTATATATCCTGTGAAGCACTTTGAGATGTCTCGAAGACGTGATAAGGCACTGTGTCAAATTGCGCGGATTATTCTTACATAATTATTATAATAATACAGCGCCTTATCACATCGATGAGACAGCTCACAGGATACCCTGTAAAGTGGAGTGACTGGGCATTTTGTGGGACGAAACGCGGCAGCCAATTACGCACAGTGACATCCCACCAACAGTCGTGGATTGAGTGACCAAATTATTATGACTTTACTGCTGTAAAGACCAGCTGGACGCTGCCTACCTCCCGACCGTGATCCTTGGCATGTACAGCAGCCACCTCGATCCTGTGCAGGTCGGCCAGAGACAGCTGTTTGATGTAGAAGTGAGCGACCACTTTCTGCGGCATGGCGTCCGTCGCGTGTGAGCTCCTGTAGTCGCTCTCGGTAACGCACAGCAGTTTCTGATCGCAGCCCAGCTCCTCCGCCAACTCCCGGTTCAGTCCGTCCTCCAGGGAGTGGTCTCGGATATCCACAAACCCGCCCGGGAATCCGATCTTCCCATCGAAACGCATCTGCATCTGAAAGGGGGAGAGAGAGGACGGCAGAGGTGCGTGTCTGACACTTGCAGAAACCCATCACCGTGCTGACTGGTCCTGTAGCGCTAGTATTCAGAGCGCTCGCCTCGCAAGCGAGAGGACCTGCGTTTGATTCCCGGGCGGGACAGGGCGAAACCTTGGGCAAGTTTCCTAACTCCTCGCACGCACGCACGCACGCACGCCTCTGTTTACCTAGCAGTAAGTGGGAACCCGGTTGTTAATCGATTACCGGATTGCTTTTTCCGAGGGTGATAATTCCTTAAAAAATAACAGCAGTGAATTGGTCACTTCGATCCATGACTGTCGGTGGGACGCTGCCGCGCGCAATTGGAAGCCGCGTTTCGCCCACAAAATATACAGTTAATTTGCAGCTTGCAGGCCGGGCGGTGTTGTCGTCAGCAGTGAGTGCCCTGCGGACCCTCCTGGCTCAGCAACCGGACTGGAGACCGTCACTCACAGAGGGTTCGCTCGATTCCCACATTCCGCGGCCAAACGTGCCACCCCGGGGCCAGTTCAGCTCCGAGGAGACCCCGCTTACCTCGACCCTAAGGAGGATATTTGGGCGGGGAGTGGGAAACAGGGAGTGGGATGAACACACCACGTCAACGCAGCGTCTAACGGGCGTGGGCGCTAAACAATCCAACCATTTCACAGCGAGATTTCTAACAGCGAGTGCTATCTATTCCACCCCCCCCCACGCACGCCCACACACTGCTATTTTTTCCTTGTTAAATATACCCTAATTCCCATTAGAAATCTACTGCTACATTCTCCTGCAAACAGTATTTCTGCGACCAGCCATCATCAGGTCCTAAATAAACCCTCTGTATAAAGAAATTCTCCTCGCCTCTCCCTCAGCAAATACCTGGTCAGTGTTACCTCACCCTCTGTCTCTTTCGCTTGCTATTTAACCCTCTTTCATCCCCGTGCTCTCTCTACTTACCCCCTCTCTCTCTCACTATTTGCCCTCTCCGTCTCTCTCTCGCTAATTATCCCCTTCCCTCTCTCTCTCTCTGTCTTGCTACTTACCCACTTCACTTATTTATATGTTTGTTTGTTTCCCAACGTGAAAGGCGCTCTATATAAATGTAATTTTGTTGTTGTTGTTTCTCACTCATGTACTTCTCTCTCTCTCATTATATGGAGTCTTGGAGCTCAGGGGTTAGACCACTCCCCTCGCACCCCACAGCCGCTGTAGCTCAGGGGTTAGACCCCTCGTAAGCCACAGTCCCTGTAGCTCAGGGGTTAGACCCCTCACCTCACACCCCACAGCCCCTGTAGCTCAGGGGTTAGACCCCTCCCTCCACCCCACAGTCCCTGTAGCTCAGGGGTTAGACCCCTCGCCTCACACCCCACAGCCCCTGTAGCTCAGGGGTTAGACCCCTCGCACCCCACAGCCCCTGTAGCTCAGGGGTTAGACCCCTCGCACCCCACAGCCCCTGTAGCTCAGGGGTTAGACCCTCCCTCACACCCCACAGCCCCTGTAGCTCAGGGGTTAGACCCTCCCTCACACCCACAGTCCCTGTAGCTCAGGGTTAGACCCCTCCTCACACCCACAGCCCTGTAGCTCAGGGGTTAGACCCCCCTCACCACAGTCCCTGTAGCTCAGGGGTTAGACCCTCCCTCACACCCACAGTCCCTGTAGCTCAGGGGTAGACCCCTCGCCTCACACCCCACAGCCCCTGTAGCTCAGGGGTTAGACCCCTCCCTCACACCCCACAGTCCCTGTAGCTCAGGGGTTAGACCCCTCCCTCACACCCCACAGTCCCTGTAGCTCAGGGGTTAGACCCCTCACCTCACACCCCACAGTCCCTGTAGCTCAGGGGTTAGACCCCTCACCTCACACCCCACAGTCCCTGTAGCTCAGGGGTTAGACCCCTCGTAAGCCACAGTCCCTGTAGCTCAGGGGTTAGACCCCTCACCTCACACCCCACAGTCCCTGTAGCTCAGGGGTTAGACCCCTCACCTCACACCCCACAGTCCCTGTAGCTCAGGGGTTAGACCCCTCCCCTCGCACCCCACAGTCCCTGTAGCTCAGGGGTTAGACCCCTCCCTCACACCCCACAGCCCCTGTAGCTCAGGGGTTAGACCCCTCGCCTCACACCCCACAGCCCCTGTAGCTCAGGGGTTAGACCCCTCGTCCACAGTCCCTGTAGCTCAGGGTTAGACCCCCCCTCACACCCCACAGCCCCTGTAGCTCAGGGGTTAGACCCCTCCCCTCACACCCCACAGTCCCTGTAGCTCAGGGGTTAGACCCCTCCCTCACACCCCACAGCCCCTGTAGCTCAGGGGTTAGACCCTCCCTCACCCCACAGCCCTGTAGCTCAGGGGTTAGACCCACCCACAGCCCCTGTAGCTCAGGGGTTAGACCCCTCCCTCAAGCCACAGCCCCTGTAGCTCAGGGGTTAGACCCCTCACCTCACACCCCACAGCCCCTGTAGCTCAGGGGTTAGACCCCTCGCCTCACACCCCACAGCCCCTGTAGCTCAGGGGTTAGACCCCTCCCCTCACACCCCACAGCCCCTGTAGCTCAGGGGTTAGACCCCTCGCCTCGCAAGCCAGAGGACCCGGGTTTGATTCCCGGGTGGGACAGGACAGGGGGAAACCTTAGGCAAGTTTCCTTACTCCCCACACACCACACACACACACACACACACACACTGACACACACACCCCCACGCGCCTGTGTCCCGGCAGTCAGTAGGAATCGCTTGTCAGGCGATTGGGGGATCACTTTCCGGGGGTAATAATCCCTTCAAAACAATAATAATTCGGTGGCTTCAACCCCGCGGCTGTTTGTGGGGACGTCGCCGGGCGCCATCGGCTGCCGCGTTCGGCCCCCGAAACACACACACGCAGTCACTACACTCGACAGCGTGTCCCGTGAAGCGCTTTGAGACGTCTCGATGACGCGATCGGGCGCCGGGTCAGACCCCCCGGGGGGGGGGTTGTTATTATTATTATCACCTACCAGCAAGGCGTATCTCATGGGGATTCTCCCGAAGAGTTTGCCGTGATCCTGAGCGAACAGCATGGCGTGACAGGCGTGCTTGTACCCCACCAGGGAGCGGGAGTCACGCCTCGATACTGACCGGTATCCGGGCTCCATCATGGCTGTCGGTAACCGCCAGTAACTGTTACTAACCGTCGCCAACTCCACCGTCGCCGACTCAACCGTCGCCGCCAACTGACACCAACTCAACCGTCGCCAACTCAACCGTCGCCAACTCAACCGTCGCCGCCAACTGACACCAACTGAACCGTCGCCGCCAACTGACACCAACTCAACCGTCGCCACCTCAACCGTCACCAACTCCACCGTCACCAACTCAACCGTCGCCAACTCAACCGTCGCCAACTCAACCGTCGCCAACTCAACCGTCGCCAACTCAACCGTCGCCGCCAACTGTCGCCAACTCAACCGTCGCCGCCAACTGACACCAACTCAACCGTCGCCGCCAACCGTCACCAACTCCACCGTCGCCGACTCAACCGTCGCCAACTCAACCGTCGCCGCCAACTGTCGCCAACTCAACCGTCGCCGCCAACTGACACCAACTCAACCGTCGCCGCCAACTGTCACCAACTCAACCGTCGCCAATTGAACCGTCACCAACTCAACCGTCGCCAATTGAACCGTCGCCAACTCAACCGTCACCACCTCAACTGTCACCAACTCAACCGTCACCAACTGTCACTTCTAACCTCCAGCAACCAACGTCAACAGCCACTGAACCTCTGAAAACCACCACTAAACCGCTGAAAACCGCCACAAAAACCAACGTCAACCGCCACGAAACCGCTCCTCACGGTCACCAACCGCCACAACTGCCACTAACGGCCGCTCACGCGCCCCCTCAGTGGACCGGCGCTGACTAACAGGCAAACCGGCCAATCGCGTGGCCGCATTCTTCCCGCCTCCCCTCACGAGCCGGTGGGCGGAGGTCGTCGCTCTTCCAGCGGCGGCGGCGGCGGTGGGGTGATTAATTGATTGACAGCCGCGGCGCCCAATGGAAAGCCACGCTGGGGGGGGTTTGGGTAATTGACAGCCCCGCCGATCCAATCAGGAGCGACAGCCAACCAATCCCGTGCTTGCGCGTCATAACACCCGCCTCCCACCCGAGGGGGGGGGAGTGTGGAGGGGGGGTGGAACAAGGAGGGTGATTGATAGGCTTACAGTCCAATCAGAAGCCAGGTACTCAAGACAGCCGGCAAATGGCGAGCCAGGATACTGTCTAAAGCCCGCCTACTAGGCGGACCTTCATACGTCAACGGGGGAAAGAGATTGACAGGTACACTACCCAATCAGAAGCCAGAGAAATCGGGAAGCGCGATTGACAGGCAAACAGCCCAATCAGGAGCCAGGCAGACGGCAGGCCAATGGCGAGCCTGGAAGCTTGCCGGAGGCCCGCCTACTGGGCGGAACAACCCCGCGTCAATGTGGAAATGATTGACTAGCACTCTACCCAATCAGGAGCCAGGCAATTGAGACAGACAGACAGACAGACAGACAGACAGACGGCCAAAAGTGTAGTGACTGTGTGTTTTGTGGGCGAAACGTGGCAGCCAGTGGCGACCAACGACGTCCCCTCAAACGGCCGTGGATTGACCGTCTGTGAGGGTCTCCAGCCCCCGGTTCCTGAGCCGGGAGGGGCCGCAGTGTTCCAGGGCAGGGAATCCCCCCCTCAGCTCCCGTTAGCCCCACAGCCAAAGCCCTCACTCACTCACTCACTAACGGGGAGGGGGGTCCCGGCTCGACAACCACGGGAACGCTCGGCCAGACAGCGCTCGCTCGCTCTCTCTCTCTCTCAATGGCCGAGCTGTGTGGGTTCAGCTGGTTAGACCCCAGCAGTTACCCCCCAACCCACACTCTGGGCTCCCCCCCCCCCCACCACCCCGAGCCTCGGCTCTCCCCCAACCTGCGCCTAATACTCTCCGGAATTAGGTAAGCAGAGGGCGTCCCTCCAGGGAGAGAGAGGGAGAGAGAGAGCGTCCCATTCCGACAGTCTATCTCTGGGGTTCCCGGGTGTGGGGGGATGTGGGGAACTCTCAGTCGGGGTTCGGAGACTCTTAAGCCACAGTGACGGGTTTCCGTGTGTGTGTGTGTCAGACACCCGGCCGGTCACGGTGACTGGTTTCCGTGTGTGTCAGACACCCACCCGGCCGGTCACGGTGACGGGTTTCCGTGTCAGACACCCACCCGGTCACGGTGACGGTTTCCCTGTGTGTCAGACACCCACCCGGCCGGTCACGGTGACGGGTTTCCGTGTGTGTCAGACACCCACCCGGCCGGTCACGGTGACGGGTTTCCGTGTGTGTCAGACACCCACCCGGCCGGTCACGGTGACGGGTTTCCGTGTGTGTCAGACACCCACCCGCGGTCACGTGACGGGTTTCCCTGTGTGTCAGACACCACCCGGCCGGTCACGGTGACGGGTTTCCGTGTGTGTCAGACACCCACCCGGCCGGTCACGGTGACGGGTTTCCGTGTGTGTCAGACACCCACCCGGCCGGTCACGGTGACGGGTTTCCGTCAGACACCCACCCGGCCGGTCACGGTGACGGGTTTCCGTGTGTGTCAGACACCCACCCGGCCGGTCACGGTGACGGGTTTCCGTGTGTGTCAGACACCCACCCGGCCGGTCACGGTGACGGGTTTCCGTGTGTGTCAGACACCCACCCGGCCGGTCACGGTGACGGGTTTCCCTGTGTGTCAGACACCCACCCGGCCGGTCACGGTGACGGGTTTCCGTGTGTGTGTGTGTCAGACACCCACCCGGCCGGTCACGGTGACGGGTTTCCGTGTGTGTGTGTGTCAGACACCCACCCGGCCGGTCACGGTGACGGGTTTCCCTGTGTGTGTGTGTCAGACACCCACCCGGCCGGTCACGGTGACGGGTTTCCGTGTGTGTCAGACACCCACCCGGCCGGTCACGGTGACGGGTTTCCGTGTGTGTCAGACACCCACCCGGCCGGTCACGGTGACGGGTTTCCGTGTGTGTCAGACACCCACCCGGCTGGCCACACACACAAAAAAAATTCACCCAACGGGCATCCACAATCACACGTCACAAAGTGGCTTCAAATAAAGCTTTTATTACACACACTATGTTCTAGGTACTCACCCCAACATTTGTCACTGCATCCAACACAGCCGAGGTCAACCCAACTCAACCCAGCTTCACAAGCGCATATCTCAGTTCCTCTCGAGAAGGGAGACGGGGGTGGGGGGTGTGGGGGGAAAGAGAGGTGACTTGGACATGTTTGGCACTCAATAATAATAATAATAATCCTCGCATTCGATACAGCGCCTTACCACGTCGTTGAGACAGCGACGACTCACACGGCGTCGGCGTCTCCGCAAACATCCGTGGATTGAGCGATCCATTTTTGGGGGGATTATCAACAACACCGGGCAGTAATAAAATATTTTGTTTCGCCCACCAAACACACAGTCACTGCACTTTACAGTGTACCCCGTGAGGCGCTTTGAGACGTCTCGACGACGTGATCAGGCGCCGGGCCAAACGCCAGGGATTATTATTAGTAGTAGTAGTAGTATTAAACCAAGCTACCGGTGCGGAAAGTGGGGGGATGGGGTGGGTGGGATACAGTGACGATGCGTGGGGGGCGGGGGTTTGGGGGGGGGGGGGGGGGAGAAGAGGGGCTCAGGATGCGGAGTCGGAAGCCTCTGAGCTGTCCTTTACGTCTGTGCTCTCAGTCGCCTCACTGATCTCGCTGACATCCTTACTGTCCCCACTGTCCTCGGCCCCCTCGTGTCGTCGCCCGCCCCCCCCACCCCCACACCTCTCGTCCCGGCAGCAGTTGAGGATGGGGCTAGGCCTGTGGTCGGGCCGGTAGTCCAGAAAGCCCGCCGTGCTCTGTCTCAGCCTCTCCTTCGTGTCTGATTGTTTCCTGAACTGGAGGAAAGGGGGAAGCCATGAGAGGGGCAGGGAGGAAGCCATGAGAACCCCACATTTTCCCCCTGCATCTCATTCCCCCCGCTCCCAACGCAATGCATTCCCTCACAATTCACACACACACACATTTACCCCCCCATACACAATCTCACCCACATTCCCCCTCACACACTACCCTTCTCTTCCCCCCCCCCCAACGCTCCCCCTCCCCACGGTAGCAGAAACAAAGCCAAACCTCGTCTGCCATCTGCGTGAGGTCTCGTTTCATGGCGTAGGCATCCTCCCCGTCTGCGTAGTATTTGGGCTCCACCTCACTGATCCTGTCAGAGAGAGAGAGTGCGTGTTTCAGAGAGAATAGGGGGAGGGAGCGAGTAAGAGAGTGAGAAAGAGCACGAGGAAGAGAGGGAGAGAGAGCGAGAGTGTAGGTGACAAGAGAGAGAGCGGGTGTGAAAGGGAGTGCATGTGTGAGAGATGCACCACCATCCCCATATACATAAACAGCAATGCCCACCCCACCCACAGATCAGTCTCATCACAGTGAGGTGTGTGGCAGTGTTAGTCGTCGGACCTGGTGGGCGAGAGAGAGAGAGAGAGCGAGCGAGAAAGAGAGCACGAGAGAGAGAGAGAGAGAGAGAGAGAGACTTACTGAAAGTTCAGGGTGTTGGAGTAAGATGTAGAGCTGCTCGGTTACTGTGGGGGAAAAGAGAAGAGAGAGTCAGTGGGTCAGAGATTAACACAACAACAAATCACACTTGTGTAGCCCTTCACGGTGGAAAGATGTCCCAAGGCGCTGGGCTGGACAGTCAGGGGTTTGGCCCCGAGCTGGGGGTTGGGATCAGGAGGGGATGGAGGGCGACCGAAGATGCGGTTGGTCGAAGAGGGTCAAGAGAAGGGACTTGATGGAGGCGAGGGAGGGAGGGAGCGAGGCGGAGGGACTGCGAGATGTCGTTCCAGAGGGTGGGGGCAGAGAGGCAGAAGGCACGACCGGCGTGTGCATTTGACCCGGCGCCTTATCACGCCGTTGAGACGCCCCAAAGACAGCTCTCTCTCTCCCTCTCTCGATGGCCGAGCTGTGGGGGCTTAGCCAGTTAGACTCCAGCAGTTACCTCCATGCACACGCACACACACACACACGCACACCACACGCGTGTACCTCTTCCTGACGTGTAAGGAGACGTAACGGGCATTGAAGTTCTCGATCATCGCCCTGGAAGCTTGGTCCATCAGTTTCTGAGCCAGGCCGAGCCGCCTGTGGGATCTCTTCACAGCCTGCAGCGCCCGGCAGGAATCACAGCGTTACCGCGGCCCGCGACATCACATCGGACACCACCCCCCGCTCACCGTTAAGACGCTGGGCTGCAGCAGGCCAAGGGCGCAGCGAGTGTTGCAGCACTGAATGCAGGGCCGCGAGTTTAAATGCAAGGGTCGAAGGTGACGAGGGAGAAAGGGAGGTTCGGAGAAAGGAGAGACACACACACACAGAGTGAGAGGAGACACATACAGTGAGAAGAGGGAGAGAGAGAGACTCACAGAGTGAGAGAGAGAGAGACATACACACGGTGAGAGGAGACACACACACACACATACAGAGTGAGGAGAGAGACACACACACACACAGAGGAGAGAGACACACACACACACACAGAGTGAGAGGAAAGAGACGCACACAAGGTGAGAGGAGACACACACACACATACACAGAGGAGAGAGACACACACAGAAGTACACACACACACACACACAGAGAGACACACACCATGAGACACACACACAGTGAGAGACACACACAGTGAGAGGACACACATACACACACACACACACACACAGTGAGAGACACACATACACAGAGGGAGAAGACAAGAGGGAGAGCGAGACACACACACACAGTCCCTTACTCCCAGTCCGCTCCCACACACTGGACCGTGCTAGCTCCCTACCAGTGAGGTGATGTGTCCATGAGGCACGTCGTCGGGATCCTCCTCCCTGCGGACAGACACAGAACCACTCAAACCTCAACCCAGCAACACACCAGAGCCCTCTATCACCTGCCCAGAGCCAGACAGAGGGAGAGACAGACACAGAGAGAGAGAGACAGACAGACAGAGAGGGGAGACAGAGAGAGTTAGAGACAAGGAGAGAGAGAGGGAGAATCAGCGAGAGAAAAACAGACTCAGAGGGAGAAACAGAAGGAGAGAGAGCGAGATTCTCAGGCTTCATCACCCCAGTCCCGAGCCCACCCCACCTACAGAGAGAGAGAGAGAGAAAACAGACAGACAGAGATGACATTACTCTCTCCCTCCCTCATGTGAGAGCAAGCGCGAGAAAGAGAGAGGGAGAGAGAGAGAGAGAGACGTTCTCAGGCTCCATTATCCCAGTGCTGAGCTCCGCCACATACACAGAGAGAGAAAGAGAGCGAGAAAGAAGCGAGAGAGATGACATTACCCCCTCCCTCCCTCCCTCATGTGCTCACTGGCTTAAGAGACTTGGACAGGGTGGGGGAGGGCGGGGAAATCACACGAGGGAGGTGTCGGAAGGCTTACATTTTGGCCAGCACGTAGCCCACAATCTTCCCATTCTCATCCTCGGCGATATAGGAAAGCTGAAAGCAGAAGGCAAGGGGTTAAGTGGAGAGAATGGCGTCCGGTGGCTCAGGGGTTCAGAGGCCTCGCCTCGCAAGCGGGTTCCATTCGATTCCCGGGCAGGACAGGACAGGTTTCCTTACACCACACACACACACAGTGACACACACGCCTGTGTTTCCCAGTCAGTGGGAACCCTCTCGTGAGTCGATTGGCGGATCGCTTTCCGGGGGTAACAATCCCAACCCCACCCCAAAAAATTGGGTCACTCAACCCACGACTGTTTGCGGGGACGTCGCTGGGCGCAACCGGCTGCCGCTTTTCGCCCACAAAACACGCAGTCACTGCACTTTAGTGAGTCCCGCGAAGCGCTTTGAGAGGTTCAAGGATGTGATCTGGCGCCGGGTCAAATGCGAGGATTATTATTATTATTATTACTACCTGTGGCCAGGACAGGCCATGATAGAAGTAGTATTTCATCTGGTAGTTTTCAGGCAGACACAGCAGGTTACAGTGCTGCATGTTCATCAGGTCTTCTGGCTGCGGACGGGAGGAGAAACATAAAAACGTGAGAGTTTGCTCAGAGAGAGACGACCAAGGTCCACCCAGTTCGCTTTCCGCCATCCTGGCACTCGCTCAACATGTCCTGTCCCAAACTATACACTGTATCTCCCCCCCCCCCCCCCCCCAGTGGAGCCCTGTAGCTCAGGGGTTAGACCCCTCGCCTCGCAAACCAGAGGACCCGGGTTCGATTCCCGGGTGGGAGACAGGACAGGGAGAAACCTTAGGCAAGTTTCCTTACTACACACAGACAGACACACACACCCCCCCACGCGCCTGTGTCCCGGCAGTCAGTAGGAATCGCTTGTCAGGCGATTGGGGGATCACTTTCGGGGGTAATAATCCCTTCAAAACAATAATAATTTGGTCACTCAACTCACAACTGTTTGTGGGGACATCGCTGGGCCCAGTTGGCTGTCGCTTTGCGCCCACAAAACACACAGTCACTACACTTTACAGTGCGTCCTATGATGCGTCTGAGACGTCTCAAAGACGCGATGAGCCGCCGGGTCAAACCCCAGGATTAGTATCTCATTTGTTCTTGAAAGGATCGACACTTTCCGCTTCCACCATCTCCCTATGCAGCCATACATTTACCACTCGCTCACTGAAGTGTAGTGACTGTGCATTCTGTGGGCGAAACACGGCAGCCAATTGCACACAGCGACGTCCCCCAAACAGTCGTGGATTGAGTGACCACCAGCTTTTTATTTGGGAGAGATTATTACGCCCCAGAGAGCAATCTAACAAGCGGGTTCCTGTTTGCTGCTGGTAAACACCACGACTCTACGGGACTCTACAAGTGGGGATAGTGAGCTCAAAAGCCCCTCGAGATTTTGGGGGGGGGGGGGGGGGCACGGGAAGGGGTTGAGTTGAACCCCAAACCTCCTGACCCAGAAGGTGAGCGAGCGAGAGGGTGAGTGAGTGAGTGAGTTGACAGGCTAAAGCACGGGCGCTGGGTAAGGAGAGGAAATAGCACACAATCCGCTCTCTCTCTCTCTCTCTCTCTCTCTCCCTCATTCCCTCTAATCTGATTCTCTAATCTTTCCGTCAGGCACTAAAGCCGTTTAGCAACCAGCGATGATCCTCAGGAAACCGGTGATCTCCTATCCTCTTCACTGGGATTAGCCAGAGGGGAGCCAACACCCAGAAACTGCCCAAAATAGCCCTGAAATGGGAAGGGGCCGGAGCCAATAACTCCGCAGACTGAACCCCAGGCCTCTCCCCCACCGCTCAGCCTCTCAATCAGGCTTAGGAGGCTTAGGAGTATTGGTTAGACCCCTCCCTCGCACCCCACAGCCCCTGTAGCTCAGGGGTTAGACCCCTCGCCTCGCACCCCACAGCCCCTGTAGCTCAGGGGTTAGACCCCTCGCCTCGCACCCCACAGCCCCTGTAGCTCAGGGGTTAGACCCCTCGCCTCGCACCCCACAGCCCCTGTATGTAGCTCAGGGGTTAGACCCCTCCCCTCGCACCCCACAGCCCCTGTAACTCAGGGGTTAGACCCCTCGCCTCACAAGCCAGAGGACCCGGGTTTGATTCCCGGGCGGGACAGGACAGGGGGAAACCTTAGGCAAGTTTCCTTACACGCCCCCCCCCCCCCCCCACAGGCCTCTGTTTACCAGCAGTAAGTAGGAACGCGTTTGTTAGTTGATTGGCGGATCGCTTTCTGGAGATAATAATCCGTCCAAAATCATAATAATTTGGTCGCTCAACCCACGACTGTTTCTGGGCCGACGCTGGGTGCAATCGGCTGCTGCGTTCCGCCCACGAAACACACAGTCACTCCACTTTACAGTGTATCCTGTGAAGCGCTTTGAGACGTCTCGAAGAGGCGACAAGGCGCCGGGTCAAATGCCAGGGTTATTACTATTATGTCGGTGTTTCCTTCTGCAAAACATTGTCCGCCCTAATCCCCTGCTCTCTCCTCGCTCCCCAGAGTCAGGAGGTTGTGGGGTTCACACACACACACGTTGGGGGTTTTGAGCTCATAGTCCAGGCCAATGCTCCAGCGCAAGGCCGGGGGGGGAGACAGAGAGGGAGAGAGAGAGAGAGAGAGAGCGCCGTCCTTCGGGTGAGATGGCTGTTTGTGGGGACATCGCTGTGAGCAAAACGGAGCCTGCCCGCAAAACACACAGTCACTACACTTTACAGTCAAACCCCGCGATCATCTCCCACAGTGCTTCACGGTTAAGACTCAAATAGACCCGAGTGATATGTCAGATTGCCCGCTCTCTCTTCTTTCTTTATCGTTCCCTCTCTCCTCGCCCTCTCTTTTTCTCTCTCTCCACCTCTCCCTTCATCCTTTCTCTCTCTCCCCACTCACTCTCTGACTCTTTCTTCCCCCTTCGTCTCCCTTCATCCTCTTTCTCACCTTCTCCGTCTCCTCCTCCCCCGATTTCTTATCTCTCTCCTCACCTTCCCCCTCTCTCTCTCTTCACCATGCTTTTCGCTCTTCACTCTCTCCTCCCGCTCTATCTCTCCTCCTTTCTCTCCCACCCTCTTTCCTCGCTCTCTCTCTCTCCCTTGTCTGATCCTTTCTCACTCCTCCTTTCCCCTCCTCCTCTCTCTCTTTACTCTTTCTCTCTCACTCTCTCTTTTCTTACCCTTTCTCCCTCTCCTCCTTTCTTACCGCCCCTTCCCTCCTTCCCTCCCTCTCTCTCTTTTCCTACCCTTCTTCTCTCACTCACTCTCTCTCCCTTTCTCCCTCTCCTCCTTTCTAACCGCCCTTCCCTCCTTCACTCACTCTCTCTCTTTTCTTACCCATCCTCTCTCGCTCACTCTCTCTCCCTCCCTTTTCTTACCCTTTCTCCCTCTACTCCCTTCTTACCTCCCTCCTCCTCTCTCTCTCTCTCTCTCCCTCCCTTCTCCGCCAATCTTGGGCCTAACTCCAGCCCGAGGCTTCCCTGCGGCCTTCGGGCCGCGGTGTGTAGTGTGAGGCCGGGGCCTGGGGTAGAGCGGGAGGCCGGGGCCTGGGGTACAGTGTGGGGCCGGAGCCCGGGGTACAGTGTGGGGCCGGGGCCTGGGGCACAGTGTGGGGCCGGGGCCTGGGGCACAGTGTGGGGCCGGAGCCCGGGGCACAGTGTGGGGCCGGGGCCTGGGCACAGTGTGGGGCCGGGGCCTGGGGCACAGTGTGGGGCCGGAGCCCGGGGTACAGTGTGGGGCCGGGGCCTGGGGCACAGTGTGGGGCCGGGGCCTGGGGCACAGTGTGGGGCCGGGGCCTGGGGCACAGTGTGGGGCCGGGGCACAGTGTGGGCCCGGGGTACAGTGTGGGGCCGGGGCACAGTGTGGGGCCGGGGCCCGGGGCACAGTGTGGGCCCGGGGTACAGTGTGGGCCCGGGGTACAGTGTGGGGCCTGGGCCTGGGGTACAGTGTGGGCCCGGGGTACAGTGTGGGGCCGGGGCACAGTGTGGGGCCGGGGCCCGGGGCACAGTGTGGGCCCGGGGTACAGTGTGGGCCCGGGGTACAGTGTGGGGCCTGGGCCTGGGGTACAGTGTGGGCCCGGGGTACAGTGTGGGCCCGGGGCACAGTGTGGGGCCGGGGCCCGGGGCACAGTGTGGGCCCGGGGTACAGTGTGGGGCCGGGGCCTGGGGTACAGTGTGGGCCTGGGGTACAGTGTGGGCCCGGGGCCCGGGGTACAGTGTGGGGCCGGGGCCTGGGGCACAGTGTGGGCCCGGGGTACAGTGTGGGCCCGGGGTACAGTGTGGGGCCTGGGCCTGGGTACAGTGTGGGCCCGGGGTACAGTGTGGGCCCGGGGCCCGGGGTACAGTGTGGGGCCGGGGCACAGTGTGGGGCCGGGGCCCGGGGCACAGTGTGGGCCCGGGGTACAGTGTGGGGCCGGGGCCTGGGGTACAGTGTGGGCCCGGGGCCCGGGGTACAGTGTGGGGCCGGGGCCCGGGGTACAGTGTGGGGCCGGGGCCCGGGGTACAGTGTGGGCCCGGGGTACAGTGTGGGGCCGGGGCCTGGGGTACAGTGTGGGCCCGGGGTACAGTGTGGGCCCGGGGCCCGGGGTACAGTGTGGGGCCGGGGCACAGTGTGGGCCCGGGGTACAGTGTGGGCCCGGGGCCCGGGGTACAGTGTGGGCCCGGGGTACAGTGTGGGCCCGGGGTACAGTGTGGGCCCGGGGTACAGTGTGGGCCTGGGGTACAGTGTGGGCCTGGGGTACAGTGTGGGGCCGGGGTACAGTGTGGGGCCGGGTACAGTGGGGCCGGGCCCGGGGTACAGTGTGGGCCCGGGGTACAGTGTGGGCCCGGGGTACAGTGTGGGCCTGGGTACAGTGTGGGCCTGGGGTACAGTGTGGGGCCGGGGTACAGTGTGGGGCCGGGGCCCGGGGTACAGTGTGGGCCCGGGGTACAGTGTGGGCCCGGGGTACAGTGTGGGGCCGGGGCCTGGGGTACAGTGTGGGGCCGGGGCACAGTGTGGGGCCGGGGCCTGGGGTACAGTGTGGGGCCGGGGCCTGGGGTACAGTGTGGGCCTGGGGTACAGTGTGGGCCTGGGGTACAGTGTGGGCCCGGGGCTGAGCCACTCACCCGGGCGTTGCGGATGTTCATGGCGACGGTTGGCGTTTGAAACCGTTCGAAAGACAAACGGCCCCAGAACCTTCTTCCCGCCTGACCGTTGCAGCGGCACGCGGGCCGGGAGAGGGGGGGGCGGGGCTCGGCTCCAGCGACTGACGGCGGCCGCGACCAATCGGAGCGAGCGGAAGCCGCGGGTCAGCGCCGCGCCGAACCAATCAGAGCCGCGCAGCGGGCGGGGCCGAGTGGCTGAGCGCCCGCCGAACAGCGCGCGGGCTGGGGGGCGTGACTGAGCTCGTGACTAACGGGCGCCTTGACCAATCAGAGTGGGTGAGAGGGGCGGGATTTTTCTCGGCGACGGGCCAATCAGGGTCATCGGGGCTTCAGGGTGGTGCGTCTGACTGATGGGCAGCAGCCGCGGCCAATGGGAGAGCGGGTGGAAGGCGGGGACTGGCGTCGGGTCGGAGCCAATCGGGCGTGACGGAGGGGAGTGACCGACAGCCGCTCCGACCAATGAGGGGGAGCGGAAGGCGGGATTGTCGGACACCTCGGGCCAATCAGGACTGGGGATTGATTGACCAGGGGGGTGATTGCGTAACAGTTGTTCTCCCGCGAAACGCACAGTCACTACACTTCACGGCGTCGCCCGTGAGGCGCTTTGAGACGTCTCGAGCACGTGACCACGCGTGCGAGGGGGAGCCAGTGGGGTCTGGCGAGGGCTGCGGGTGATGGGGTGATGGGTTTAGGGGGTGAGGGGGAGCCAGTGGGGGCTGGCGAGGGCTGGGGTGATGGGGGGACGGGGTTTAGGGGGTGAGGGGTGGCCAGTGGGGCCTGGCGAGGGCTGCGGGTGATGGGGTGATGGGGTTTAGGGGGTGAGGGGGAGCCAGTGGGGTCTGGCGAGGGCTGCGGGTGATGGGGGACGGGGTTTAGGGGTGAGGGGGAGCCAGTGGGGGCTGGCGAGGGCTGGGTGATGGGGGGGACGGGTTTAGGGGGTGAGGGGGAGCCAGTGGGGGCTGGCGAGGGCTGCGGGTGATGGGGGGACGGGGTTTAGGGGTGAGGGGGAGCAGTGGGGCCGGGCGAGGGCTGGGGTGATGGGGGGACGGGTTTAGGGGGTGAGGGGTGGCCAGTGGGGCCTGGCGAGGGCTGCGGGTGATGGGGTGAGGGGGTTCAGTGTGTGAGGGGTGGCCAGTGGGGTCTGGCGAGGGCTGGGGTGATGGGGTGAGGGGGTTCAGTGTGTGAGGGGTGGCCAGTGGCCAGTGGCCAGTGTGAGGATCTTGCAGGAGGGGAATGGGTTAACGGGAGAGATTAACGCTCCAAATCCCGATTATTATGTTGACCCGGGGTGTACCTGGTTACCTGAAACGTCCACAAAATCACCCACTCTTAGTGGGGTCGGGTGACGTCAAAGGAGCCGTTAAGTGGCCCGGCCGACACACGGCTGAGGCAGCGCAATGGCATCCGAATTAAGAGATAAGGTCTTTTGGGAGAGGGTTGATACGAGGGGGAGGTTCGTTAATCAGGGACTGACGGGAGTCGGAGACGGGCGTTGGGGTCTGTATAAAAGGGGAGTCCTCCAGTTGCTGCCCTTGGGATAGACGGAGCGCCAGAGAGTGAACAAGAAAAGGGGGAGAGCGAGAGAACGAGAGAGAGAGAGAGAGAGAGAGAGAGGAGCGCAGGGACCATGGCAGAGCCGAGGGGATCCGTTGCGTTCGCCGCGAGGCGGTGGAACGACCACGAAGGCACGACCGTCGGCGAATTCACTTACACCAACAGCAACAGCACGAGGGGTAATCGTTTTACCGTCGTCGTCGCCGCCCTTTAACGACAACAATAGCAACAGTAATCCCCGGGGTTCGACCCGGCGCCCGATCGCGTCGTCGTGGACCCCTCGAAGCGCTTCACGGGCACAGGCCGTCGGGCGTAGTGACTGTGTGTGTGTTTTGGGGCCCAAACGCGGCAGCCGATCGCGCCCGGCGACGTCCCCACAAACAGTGGTGGTGGGCGGATTGAGTTATGTTTGTTGGAGGCGTAAATGGGACACTCTCCCTCTCTCTCCCTGGAGGGACGCCCTCTGCTTACCTAATTCCGGAGAGTATTAGGCGCAGATTGGGCGAGAGCCGAGGCTCGGTGTAGGGGGGGGGTGGGGGGAGCCCAGAGTGTGGGTTGGGGGGTAACCGCTGGAGTCTAACCAGCGTATATAATAATAATAATAATCCTCACGATTTGACCGAGCGCTCAGTAATCTAATTATATAAAGTCCTGAGCTCAGGGGTCAGACCCCCCCCCCCCCACACCCCACAGCCCCTATAGCTCAGGGGTTAGACCCCTCGCCTCACACCCCACAGCCCTGTAGCTCAGGGGCTTAGACCCCCCCCCTCGCACCCCACAGCCCCTGTAGCTCAGGGGTTAGACCCCCCCCCCGCACCCCACAGCCCCTGTAGCTCAGGGGTTAGAGCCCTCCCCTCGCACCCCACAGTCCCTGTAGCTCAGGGGTTAGAGCCCTCGCCTCGCAAGCCAGAGGACCCGGGTTCGATTCCCAGGTGGGACAGGACAGGGGGAAACCTTAGGCAAGTTTCCTTACTCCCCACCCCCCCCACCACACACACACACACATTTGTGGGGACGTCACTGAGCGCAATCGGCTGCCGCCTTTGGCCCCCGAAACCCACAGTCCCTACACTTGTCCGCGCGAAGCTCTTCGGGAGACGTCTCGACGACGCGATCAGGCGCCGGGTCAAATATCCGCAAATAACACTAACAGCAATAATAATAATAATGATAATAATAATAATAATCTCTGCTTTTGACCTCATCGAGATGCCTCAAAGCCCTTCGCGGGGAGAGAGAGAGAGAGAGAGACGCACGAACAAGTGTAGTGACTGTGTGTTTTTGGTCTTAATTGTTATTTGTTTACCCCTCTTCCCCCCCACCCCGCCCACCACCCTCCCCACCCCCACCCCCCCCCACCGCAGACCCCTTCGAAGGGCCGAACTACCACATCGCCCCCCGCTGGACCTACAACCTGACCAGCCTGTGGATGGTCGTAGTGGTCATCCTCTCGGTGTTCACCAACGGCTTGGTTCTGGTGGCCACCTGGAAGTTCAAGAAGCTCCGCCACCCCCTGAACTGGATCCTGGTCAACCTGGCGATCGCGGACCTCGGGGAGACCCTGTTCGCCAGCACCATCAGCATCTGCAACCAGGTCTTCGGCTACTTCATCCTGGGGCACCCGATGTGCGTGTTCGAGGGCTTCACCGTCTCGGCCTGCGGTGAGCGAGCAGGAGACTCGTGGCTCTCTCGGTCGCGCTCTCTGTCTCTCGGTGGCTCTCTCTCCGTCGCTCTCTCTGTCTCTCGGTCACTCTCGGTCGCTCTCTCTGTCTCTCGGTCACTCTCTCTCCATCGTTCTCTCGGTCACTCTCTGTTGCTCTCTCGGTCACTCTCTGTCGCTCTCTGTCTCTCGGTCACTCTCTCTCCATCGCTCTCTCGGTCACTCTCTGTCGCTCTCTCAGTCACTCTCTGTCGCTCTCTCTGTCTCTCGGTCACTCTCTGTCTCTCGGTCCCTCTCTCTCTATTACAGTCTCTCTATCTCTCTGTTACAGTCCCTCTCTCTCGATTACAGTCTCTCTCTCCCTCTGTGTGTGTGTGTGTGTGTGTCACAGGTATCACGGCTCTCTGGTCTCTCACAATCATTGCCTGGGAACGGTGGGTTGTCGTTTGCAAACCTTTCGGGAACGTCAAGTTTGACGGAAAATGGGCAGCGTTTGGAATAATCTTTTCCTGGGTTTGGTCCATCGGCTGGTGTCTGCCGCCCGTGTTCGGCTGGAGCAGGTCAGTTATTATTATTAATAATAATATTAATAGTATTATTAATAATAACAATAATATTAATAATCATGATATAATAATATCATAACAATCCTCTCGTGTGACCCGGCGCCCGATCGCGTTGTCGAGACGTCTCAAAGCGCTTCACGGGACACGCTGCCGAGTGTAGTGACTGGGTTTTGTGGGGCCAGACGCGGCAGCCGATCGCGCCCGGCGATTGGGGAGAGTGAGCCTCTGACGATGCTATCAATCGATCAATCGATTAATTAATAATTTGGTCGCTTCAGCCCACGACTGTTTGTGGGGACGTCGCTGAGCGCGATCGGCTGCCAACGATCCGCCGTTACTGATTAATTATTGATTATTAACCGTTGATTATCAATGAGCGAATATTAATTCTTGATTAAAAATTGTTGGCAGTTGATTATTAGAGATTAATTATCGGTTATCGGTGATGGAGTATTGATTGTTAATCAGTGACCATTAATTGTTGGTTATTGATTATTGATTAATTATTGGTTATTGCTGGCTCTGATCTCCCCACATCAGGTATTGGCCACATGGGCTGAAGACGTCCTGTGGCCCTGACGTGTTCAGTGGCAGCTCTGACCCCGGTGTCAAGTCGTACATGGTGACCCTCGTCATCACCTGCGCAGCTCTGCCCCTGACCATCATCATCGTCTGCTACCTCCAAGTCTGGCTCGCTATCAGGGCGGTAAGGCCCTCTCTCTCTCTCTCTGTCTCTCCCTCGCTCTCTGTCTCTCTCTCGCTCTCCCGCTCTCTCTCTGTCTCTCCCCCTCTCTCCCTCCCTCTCTCTCTTGCTTGCTCTCCCCCTCTCTCTCTGTCTTTCTCTCTCCCTCCCTCTCTCTCTCTCTCTGTCTCTCTCTCTTTCTCGTGGTTTGCGAGGCGAGGGGTCTAACCCCTGAGCTACTGGGGACCGTGGCTTGCGAGGCGAGGGTGGTCTGAACCCCCTGAGCTACAGGGTACACCCCACACGTAATCCTTGGCAGCCTTTGACCCCTTCTCGGTCCTCTCCACAGGTGGCAATGCAGCAGAAGGAGTCGGAATCCACCCAAAAGGCGGAGAAGGAAGTGTCGCGAATGGTGGTCGTAATGATCATTGCTTTCTGCTTCTGTTGGGGACCGTACACCTCGTTTGCCGTCTTCTC